TTCCTTTTACTTTTGTAAAAACTCTTTACCTCCCCCCCCCCTTTTTTTTTCCAGCAGTTTTTTTTTTCTTTTTTCTTTAAATTAACATATAATGTATTATTTGCCCCAGGGGTATAAGTCTGTGAATCATCAGGCTTGCACATTTCATAGCACTCACCATAGCACATACCCTCCCCACTGTCCATAACCCAGCCACCCTATCTCTACCCCCCACCTCCCAGCAACCCTGTTTGTGTCATGAGTTTATATCTCCTTCTTCTATTCTGAACAATAGCTTTGGTGGATAGAGTATTCTTAGTTAGAGGGTTTTTTCTTTCAACACTTTAAATATATTATGCCACTCTCTTCTAGTCTTCCAAGTTTCTGCTGAAAAATCAGCTGATAACCTTATAGAGACTCCCTCGTATGTAACGTTTTCTTTCCCCTTGCTGTTTTGAAAATTCTCTCTTTATCACTACTTTTTGCCACTTAAGTTACTAAGTGTCTTTGTGTGGAACTCCTTGGGTTGATTTTGTTGGGAGTTCTCTGTGCCTATTTGTTCCAGATTTCTGTTTCCTTCCCCAGACTGGGAAAATTTCAGCTATTATTTCCTCAAATAAAATTTCTCCCCCCTTTTCTCTCTTTTCTCCTTCTGGTATCCCTATATTTAAATGTAATTATGCTTGATGGTGTTGCAGAGTTCTTTAAGTCTTCTTCTTCTTCTTCTTCTTCTTATTATTATTATTATTATTATTTCTTCTCTCTCCTCTTCAGCTTGATTGCTTTCTATTACTCTGTATTCTGGGTTGCTGATCTGTTCTTCTGCTTCTTCTAGTCTACTATTTATTCTCTGTAGTGTATTTTTACTTTCAGTTATTGAGTTCTTCATCTCTGATTAGATCTTTCTTATGTTTTCTATCTCTTTGTTAAGGGTTTCACTGAGGTCATCTATTCTTTTCTTTCTTTATGAGCATTACTTTCAGCTCTCCAACAGGCATATTACTCACCTCTATTTCATTTAGCTCTCTTCCTGTGACTTTGTCCTGGTCTTCATTGGGAACATATTCCCCTGTCTCCTCCTTTTGTCTAACTCTTTGTGCTCCTTTTTTAAATTTTTTTTTTCAAGATTTCTTTATTTGATGGGGCAAGGGGCAGAGTGAGAGAATCTTTCAAGCAGACTCCAGCTGAGCATGGACCCCCAACATAGGGCTTAATCCCATGACCCTGTGAGATCTTGACCTAAGCCAAAACCAAGAGTTGGACACTTAACTGACTGAGCCACTCAGGTGCTCCTGTTTGTGCTCTTTCTATGTGTTAGGAAAGTCATCTGCATTTCCTGATCTTGAAAGTAGTGGCCTTATGAAGAAGAGGTCCTGTAGTGCCCTGCAGTGCAATGTGACTTCTTCACCAGAATGTTACTTCATGGGTGTCTCCTATGTGTGTTGAATGTGCCCCACTGCTTTGGCTAAGCCACTTTTGCTTTCAGCCCCATCTCTATTTGCCTATTGTGGACAGTGTTTGGTACCTGTGTTGTTATTGGGTTAGTTTGGGTCTGCCTTGTTCTTGAGATGAGTCAGACCAGGAATTTGCCAGAGATGCGGTAGAACTGATTAACAATGTGCTTTCCTATGTTGTCCCTTGAAAAGGTTTATTGGTAGTTAGTGCCTGCATTCAGACCAGATGCCTGCCCCCAACCCATTGGGGGTGGTTTTGCAGGAGAATGTGGGGGTGGAACTTACAGTGTTAACATGCTTCATGCAGGAGTGTTGTGGGAATGGACCTTGAATTGCTTTAGAAAACTGCAGCAGGACTAAAGGGGTCATGTCTACAGGAGAACACAGGGGTGGGACATGCTGCCAGCAAATTAGGTGAGCGTGGTTGTGCTGCGCTGGTTCCCACATGTGTTCATGTGTGTAAGCTGGGGAGCCCGAGAGGGAAATTGTGTTTGTCAGTTCCTTTGTCCCTGGAGAAGTCTCTTAAAGATGTCCGCTCCTCCAGCACATTCTCTGAAATTAGTAAATAAATCTTCCCAGGTACCCCCAAATGTTTTTCGAATTGCCACTTCTAGGCTGTATCTCTACAGAGCTGTTTGTTGTGCTGTCTCTCTCTTTTTTTTTTTTTAAGATTTTATTTATTTATTTGACAGAGATCACAAATAAGCAGAGAGGCAGGCAGAGAGATAGGAGGAAGCAGGCTCCCTGCCGAGCAGAGAGCCCAATTCGGGGCTTGATCCAGGCCCCTGGGATCATGACCTGAGCCGAAGGCAGAGGCTTTAACCCACTGAGCCACCCAGGCACCCCTGTTGTGCTGTCTCTTTAAGGGCAGGGAATTGGTTTCCTCTTGCCCTCTGGCTCTCCCAGAGTGTAGCCTGCTGATTTTAAACCCCTATCATAAGAACTCACAGAATTAGGCCCCTGTGGTTTCCAAAACCAAATGTTATGGGGATTCATCTTACTTGTGTGGGTTTCCCAGCTCGGGGTGCTTGTTGTGAGGGTCTGTTCCTCCTCTTCATGCCCATGGTTTCCCTTCCTCCTTGGACAGTCCCATGGGTCCATTTAGCCTCCACCATGTCTCTACCCTTCCTACCCTCTTTAGTGTGGACTTTTCTCTACATTTAGCTGTCAAGATTCTGTTCTGCCAATCTTAAGGTCATTTTTGGGGTTATTTACATTGATGTGGGTGTTATCTAGCTGTATCCTTGGGACAGGTGAGCTTAGGATCTTCCTACTCCATCATCTTCCCCAGAAGTCCCATTGGATCTTTTAAAAATAACCTTAATAATCATCATGGTTTGTAAAATAACACCCAGTGATAGTACTATCTTTGTTTCATTTATAACAGGAGTAAAAGTTCAACTTTTAGAATCATCTGGCTGGAAGATGTCAAAAGCTCCCATCTGTTGTGGGCAGCCAGTATCATATATATCATAAAGGAAAACATGCTCATGATTAGCCTTTATTCCCATGTACTGATTCTTAAAATCTACTCATGTATATTTCAATGAAGCATGATATAGATAATAAATTTTGCATTACGTATGTAAAACTATAGGAAGCCTATAAAAATTATATAAATATGTATTTAAGTTTTCTCAGCAATATTTTATTAGACAATAAACAATATCCTGGTTACTTAAGTGATGATCTACTTGCTTTCCCAGTGGCACCAATTACATCTGTTCCTGGGCTGGACTAATGGGAATTTTAAAAACTGAAGGCCCCAAAACTATGAACCCTCCCATAAAACCAGTACTCCTCTCTGGGCCAGCCAGGAAAGCTGCCAACCAACATTTTCCAGTGCCCACCACACACATGGCCCCAGAATGGGTGAAGTGTATTTGGAAAAAACTGTTACCAGCACTTTCATGTTGATTTTCCCTAAAAAAGCAGTGCCATTAGAAAAACCAGAATTGTATTTTCTCACTCTCACCTATGTACTATGCCAGGTTTACCTTGGTCCTTAGGGGGAAATAGCCATATATTTGAAAAAGCCAGGATTGTTTTGTATGTTTGAGGCCATTTTCATTAACCTCTAGGAAAAAATAGTAAAGCGGGCCATCCAGGTAAATACACACAGACAAACCAACAGAATTATTAAGCCACCTTGATGAATGGATTTCTAGGGATTATTAACCCTTATATTTAAAAAGAAAGAATAATAATCTCATATTATATTGATAGTGATTGTTTAATAAAAAATTGGAATGCCTGGGTAGCTCAGTCAGTTAAGCATCTGCCTTTAGCTCAGGTCATGATCCTAGGGTCCTGGGATTGAGGCCCAATAGAAAGGTTTTTCTTATTTCATAATATAAAAGAATCACACTGATTGCCATAAAATTAACAACACCATGAGTTTATACAGTCCATTTGAAATGTTCTATCAATTTCATCACAAACAAATCACCCCTTAAAATTTTTCTAAAAATTATCTGGCATTAATTTCATGTGAAAGCCATGCTTTTGTAGAACTGGATAAAAATAGGGTAGATAACCATACAAACTGCTTTTTATTCTCTGAATTCTTAAAAAACTCCTTCTAACTTGAAGTTGGCACACACACACCAATGTTTATACACTTCTAGCAGAAGTAGCTATAGAAACAATTTCAAAGACCTATGTCCATTATTCACCTGAATATGGTGTTTCAACTATACTCAAATAAAAAAAAATTTTTTTTTAAAGAGAAGGAAGTTTAGCACACAGATCAATTCGCTATTGGCTGCAACAAAGAGCCCTAGAGTGTGAGTATCAGTGCAGGCAAGATTGAGCAAAGGGTTCAGATCATACCTAGAGTGATCTGTAATGTTACGGCTAATCAGAAGCTGAAGAGGATCTGTGTGGTTGCATAAAAAAAGTCTCCCACCTACACCACTCCCACTAGCAGGCCACACATCTGTCAGTTCATGATGGTTGTATAATGCAAGGACTTGCAAATGGCCCCATAATGGTGGTAGGCCATCACAATAAGTAGGATGACCTCAGCAGCTCCAAAGAAATGTTCCCCAAAGATTTAAATCATACACCCATTGATTGAATGGTCTTTTATAGAATAAATCTATAATCGGTTCAGGCGTATTTATAGAGGAATAGCAGGCATCCATAAAGAAGAGATGGGCTAGAAAAAGGTACATGAGAGACCCCAGTGATGGGCTGGCAGAGATGGTGACTATTATGAGCACATTTCCTACCACAGAAACAATGTATATGACAGAAACTGGAACAAATATAATTTTCTTTAAAAAAAAAAATGGGGACAACAAGGTCAGTGTGTAGAGCATGTGGCTTTTTATCTTGGGGTTATGAGTTCAAGCCCCATGTTGGGTGTAGAGATTAATTAAAAAAATCTTAAAAAAAAAAATCCTATGTCCATTGTAGTTACTCAATAAACATTTGCTAAATGACTAATCAAAAATTCCTCTGGTAAATTTTTCCATTTTGAATAAGAAGTAGTTAAATAGAGAGTAATACTGTCTTGAGGGTATATGTGACCATCATTTAATGCAATGGTTTTTATTCCTTTAGGAAAAAACCAAGCACTGAGGTTGAAATCCCTGAGAAGCTGGAAAAAATCAAACTCACTTTGGCTGAAAATGAAGACCATGAAAAGCTGCAAGTTAAAATACAGGCTTTTGAAGACAAAATAAATGCTGAGAACAATACTCCCAGCTCTATCAGAAGATACAGTTTGGGCCAATTTTCTAAGGAAGAAAGAAAGGACATTAGATTTAACAGGTATAAGCTTTGCTTGGCTGGTTTTTTAAAGTATGCACTTCATGTTTGCTAGAAATTATGTTATCACACTGTTATGGGGTGGTTTTTAAATATCTCTCACCTATAGCACCCGAAGTCCCATCTTTTCATGAATGAAATGGTGTTCACCATGCTTCCATTATCCAAAGAAGCTTACTTTATTTTTTATTATTATTAAAAGGAGAATACAGATGGAAAACAAATCTATGGCTTATTTTTAAAAAATACTTTAAATATAGATGTGCTATATATATCTTTTAAAGATTTTATTTATTTATTTATTTATCAGAGAACAAGAGAGAGCACAAACAGGCAGAGAAGCAGGCAAAGGGAAAAGGAGAAGCAGGCTTAACACTGAGCAGGGAGTATGATGTGGGGATCGATCCCAACACCCTGGGATCATGACCTGAACCGACGACAGACACTTAAGCGACTGAGCCACCCAGGCACCCCTATAGATGTGCTATTTTGAGAATGACTGTCAAAAGCCTCTCTTGTTTTCTGATGAAAAAGCAGAAGCAAAAGTAGGGGGAAAAGAATATAAGTATGTAAGTCTACTATTTTCCAGTTAGTTTTGCCATGAAATAGACTTTTTAAATGTCTGTTTTTGGAGGTGGCCTGTATCTTCAAGGATTTGGCTTACTATGTAACTTGTTGCTGATCTATGTTTTTATCAAATCTGTTAATAGCATCAATTCTGTTTCACACTCTAGAGGAAGTCATTTTTCCCAACTGTTATTATCCTTTCTTTTCTTCTCAGTGAGTTCTAGCTCAGCTTCTTTACCTGTTTTGGCTTTTTGTTTGTATTGCAGGTCAAAGAGTTTGGCTTTGCACACTGCACTAATGAAGAACGAGAGTTCAGATGATGAGGAAGTTGTAGAGAGAGAAAATAAGCCAACCAGCTTCTTTCTTTCAGAAACAGACCCACTTCGCCAAGGAAATGATAAGTTGCCCTTTAAGGCAAACTCTGACAGATCACAGCTGGAAAATTCTTCAGTTTCACACCCAAGTATTATGCATACAGAATCAGAGAATTTGCCAGAAACAGTTAAAGAAAACTGTCAGGGAGAAACTCCAGAAACAATTGCAAGTCCTGTAGAATACCAAGATAAGCTCTACTTGCACTTAAAGGAAAACTTCAGTAAAGTAAAAGCATATGCTGTGGAAATCGGAAAGAAGATTCCAGTCCCCGATCAGTGTACCATTGAAGGTATGTGCTCTGAACACCCTAAATGTGAGAAATTTCAGACACCCATTGGGGAGGGGAGAAAGTCTTAAATCATAAAAATTACCATACCCTGGGTTTTTTTTGCAAAACAGATAGTTTGAAAACACCCTCACAATATTTTAATTGCTTTCCCCCCCAATAAGGTCAATCATCTTTTTTATTTCTATTTGAATCTATTAGGTGCACTTAAGTTCACCGACTCCAATTTTTTTCAAACCTCAAAATATATTGTTTCTGGTTCTCTGTCCCTAGTGTTTAGGAAACTCCTGGAAGGGTCCGTGTTCACTAAAATAGGCTCTGGGGTAGGGGTCCAGTCAGAGACATCTTCCCAACCACGTAAGCATGCAAGGAAGCCAGACACAGCAAGGAACTCCAAGAGCTTTTTCTCCCAATCATTCAGCAGCATGTATGAAGCAGCTACTGTGTGCCAGGTACTGTGCTAAAAATTCAGCTTTGTGTGGGATTTGGCTGTGACCCAAAGAGACACAATCCCTGGCCTCTTGGAGAAAAATCATAGTCAGGAGATGATATCTGTCAGGAACCAGCGAGAGTGTGAGCTAGTCAGAAAACAGAGAACAAAGAAAAAGATGTCAGGAAACGGGACTTCCCTCGGGTGCACAATTTAAGGAGGTGCCAAAAAACCTCAGTAACATTTTAAGCAAAGACAGGATCAGTATGTCTTGCCAAGCCATACTGGAGCAGAGGCAAAAGGATCAAGAGGTAATATTGATCATGTTTCCATTTATAATTTTGATCTCTTGTTTCATCATGAACTTTTTGCATTCATTTTCATTTTTTTAAAAATATTATTTGTTTTGACTACTAAATTTTCTCATACTTCTTAAGTTTTTGTGCCCTGTTCCTGGAAGAGATGATAGGTTTGAGGCACAGATACTAAAATGGAAGAGTGCCCAGGGCAAGCTCATCTTTCTGGTAGTGGGTTGAACAGATTTGGATGTTTTGAAGACACTGTCAGCTAATTAGAGTTTTCTCACAGTCTTTCTCAGTTAGCAGCCATGTTATTCCCTTGAGATTTAGATGAAGGTCCTAGCCTTCTTGTTGGACCTGACAGCTTTTCACAGGCTACCCCCACATAGGAAAAGCTAGACAGTGTGTCTCCTAGAAAGAAACACCGTGGAAGGATAGTGAATCCAATTCACATTCACCCACGCACTGTCATCCCCTTTGGGGATGGTACTAGGAGGGTTCTATTTTCCATACACTACTTACTATCCCTTCTCCCACTCCAAATCAGAGGAAAGAATGTATTCTCATGCTAACAAAGGGAAAGGAGGATTCAAGCATTTGGTAATGACAAATATTTTCTGCATATCTGCAGAATCTGACATTTTCAGAGGTGTTTACATTGATTTATTGCTTACGATTCTTACAATTCTTTTTTTAATGGTGACAATAAAGGTGAGATTGCTCATATTCAATATTAGTGTTGGATAGTTAAGTATAGGAAGACTTAGGAATAACTAAAATCAATAAAACTCAACACAAACTCTTTACAATTTTGCATTTCACTAATACTCTATGTATTTAAAGCACAGGTTGGAGAATATAATGTAAAAGAGGTTAAGTGAATTGCCCAGCTAAAGAGAGGAAGTCTGTAGCAAATGTAAAGTTAGACATATTTCCATCTGCTAGAATGGTTTTGTTTTTTAAGTTTAGCTTAAAGCATTGAAGCTGTGCTGTGTGGTGAGTTTTAATCTTGTGAAAATGTCTGAAAGCCCTGCAGTTACTTCAAGCATCTAGTTGTCAAAAATACATGCTATTTCTTATTGCCTTGAATTATTTGGGGGATTTGAGAGTGACTTGGATTTTTATTCCAAAATATTAACTGAATCCATCATCTTTACTAAAAACAAACGAAAATCAACAGGTATTTTCTTTTGATGTTCCCTACTGGGAATGGCCTATATATATATATATATATTTTTTTTTTTTTTTTTTTGAGTATACATTTTTTTTAAGTTGACATTTTGGAATTTGTTCACATTTTTGTAATTTCCTGGAAGTTCCTGGAAAATTCCTTGCACAGAGATATGTGTGAGGGATTAAAGATTTATATGACTCACTATAAATACATCCTCCGAGAAAGGACTCATGCTGACTGCAGGGAACGTATTGTTATTATTCCCAAGATTACGTAAACCATTCAGGAGAATGCCAGCAGTCATCTGGCTGACACAGTTTTGCTTGCTGTCATAAGCTCTCAGCTCAACAATATCACATTTCTATCCTTAAAAATTTATTGAAGAAAGATTTAGGCTTAGAAACTGTGTTATGTGTTGTTGGTGTAAAAAAGGCACATTTGGCCTTTCTTGCTGAATTATGCAAAGTAATCAAGAAACAAAGGGAAAAAACATAAAAACCACTTCCACAACATTTAGAGTTAAAAAGACAAATAGCCATCAGGAAACAACAACAACAATGTAGTAAGAATAATTTTAGACTGATGTCATAATGTCTATACCATAAGAAAAATGATAAAAAACACTTTAAAGAAGTTCTTTTGGTATCGTTTTGAATCGTATGAAAAAAAACCGATACTGACATCTGACTCCCTTACTTTGGCCTATAAAAATATCACTCTCGTAGGGTTCAACCTAATACTATAGTAATAAACTGTGTTGAAAGAACAGGAACCTCACTAGTCAGAGTCCGGCAGAATTCAGTATGAGGTGAATCAAGGTCACAAATGCCATTCTTATCCTCAGTCAACCATCCTGGTATTGCATGCTGTTAAGGGGGCAGGCAATGGAGTATAAATACAGCAGCACAAATCTATCATCGTGTCTGGAAAAATTGTCAAACCCCCAGTCTTCCTGAAGTTAGGTCAGCAGTGTCATTTCGGCTATGAAAGCGCCTGTTATTCCCAAGTCAGTAATTCTCTCCTGGGCCCTCTAGGCCTCTGATGTGGGTGCAGGTTAGCCAACCCTGGAAAGTCAGGTATTCATAGTTAGAGTAATTGTCTGACATCACTGCCTGATTATATTTACATGCAAGACTGAAGGAATTTAGTTCATCAGCTAAAGGGCATTTTAAATATCCGAATCACTAGAATTCCTTTATGTGAACAAAAATGATTTGAGGCTAAAAAAAAAAAAATCCAAAAACACATGATATTGAAATAAATCCTTGAAAATCAGGCCCATCACCGGTGTTCTATAAAGGATGATATAAAAGCTTACAAGAACCCATCAATGCGGCTTTGGTACGCTTTGAAGTATTCCCTGATTGGGTGAAAATACATCCCATCTGTAGAGCATATCGGCAAGTCTGACTTGCAGAAAGCTAATTTTAAAGCTAGTAATGTCGTCCTTTCTCTAATAGACTGACAGGAGGTGATTTTTCAACTTGAACAGATATGAGAATATACAAAAATAAAAGTTCATTATAAATATCAAGAAGCAGGTGCTGTTTCATAATTAATCACAAATAAATTTTTTTAAAGATTTTATTTATTTATTTGACAGAGAGAGAGATCACAAGTAGGCAGAGAGGCAGGCAGAGAGAGGAGGAAGCAGGCTCACAGCTGAGCAGAGAGCCTGATGCGGGGCTCGATCCCAGGACCCTGAGATCATGACCTGAGCTGAAGGCAGAGGCTTAACCCACTGAGCCACCCAGGTGCCCCCACAAATAAATTTTTTAATTGAAATTTTGCATGTAGTCAAGTCCAACCGCATGCTGGTACGACCAAGGAGGCAAAGGCAACCCAGTCCTTACCTCTCTCTCCTTGGTTGGTCTAATCTGGAGGGTGATGTAACATTCATTCATGGAGTGGTTCTGGAGGAAGGGTCTTTCTTTTTTAAAATAGAGTGGTTTAGTCACGGGATTAGGATCATTTATCCTTGAGATTTTTTTTTACTTTTTTTTCTATTTTAATTCCAATATAGTTAACATACAGCGTTATATTAGTTTCAGGTATGCAACATAATGATTCAGCACTTACATATATCACCCCGTACTCATCACAATTATACTCCAAAATCCCCATCACCTATTTCACCCATCCCCCCACCCACCTCCCTGGTAACCATCAGTCTGTTCTCCATAGTTAAGAGTCTGTTTCTTGGTTTCTTTCTCTCTCTCTCTCTCTCGTTCCTTTGCACGTGTGTTTTGTTTCTTAAATTCCACATATGAGTGAAATTGTATGGAATTTGTCTTTCTCTGACTGACTTAATCTGCTTAGCAATATACACTGCAGCTCCATCCATGTCATGGCACATGGCAAGATTTCATTCTTTTTGTGGCTAAATAGTATTCCGCTGTATATATATATACCACTTCTCTATTCATTCATTGACTAATGAACACTTGAGCTGCTTCCATAATTTGGCCATTGTAAATAACACTCCTATAGTCATAGGGATGCATTTATCACTTTTAATCAATATTTTTGTATTTTGGGGTAATGCACAGTAGCACCACTGCTCAGTCATAGGGTAGTTCTGTCTTTAACATTTTTTTTTTTATTTGACAGAGAGAGAGATCATAGGTAGGCAGAGAGGCAGGCAGAGAGAGAAGAGGAAGCAGGCTCCCTGCTGAGCAGAGAGCCCGATTCGGGCTTAATCCCAGGACCCTGAGATCATGACCTGAGCCGAAGGCAGAGGCTTAACCCACCGAGCCACCCAGGTGCCTCTGTCTTTAACATTTGGAGGAACCTCCATACTCTTTTCCACAGTGGCTGCACCAGTTTGCATTCCCACCAACAATGCAAGAGGTTTCCTTTTTCTCCATCTCCTTGCCAACATTTGTTTCCTGGGTTTTTTATTTTAGCCATTCGAACATGATCTGAGGTAATATCTCATGTAGTTTTGATTCACATTTCCCTGATAATGAGGGATATTGAGCATCTTTTCATGTGTCTATTGGCCATCTGGATGTCTTCTTTGGAAACATGTCTTCATGTCTTCTGTCCATTTTTTTTAAACTTTTTTAAAATTTTTATTTATTTATTTGACAGGCAGAGA